ATATATATATATATATATATATATATATATATATATATATATATATATATACATGACAGCCCTGCCATTCCTAAAAAGTCCCGAGTTCTTAACAACCGTCTTGTGCGTGCATCTTGCCTTGCATGTCCTTGCTTTAGTCAAACCTATTCTTGGTCCTGTCCATACCTGGCCTTGCTAGAGTAAGAAATAGATATGCATGTTCCTACCTGTCCTTGCCTTGCCTTGTCCGTCTTGCCTTCCTTGCTTTAGGTAAGTCAGTCCAGTCCAGGAATCCTTCCATCAAGCGGTCTAGTATAGTTAATAAGTTGGTTGATATCTCAATTATTGATAGCAAAGGTCCACGCCTAATATGAAAGACACACACCTAACCAAAAAGGTAAGGTTCCTTCGGATAACCTATACACAACACAAGCACGGGGGCTTGCTTAAGCACTGTAACCCAACTTCAAAGCACGAAAGAACGGTCACTGAACTATGCTGAAGAAGTCTAACCACACACTAAAGCATGGAAACAAGTAGTTAGTATGCACTAGCACATGCTAACCTATACACTAACTCTACTCAAGTATGCACACCGTCAACAAAGCAAACATGCCGCATGAAAGCAAGCCAAGCCCCTGATTACCTTCCTAGCATATGTATAAGACCGAATCCATTAGATTTCTAAAAAGGATTACTATACTAATCCTTAACTTTCGAGGAATACTTCATTAGTGGTTGTGAATGACTGATTTGATTCGTTCTCAATAGCCATGCGATGATCATCTTAGGGCGATCTTTTTGTCGACGGGACATTCGTAGTCCCCAAAGGATGAGAACCAACTATGTAGCATCTACATCGATAATTCAAGTATTGTATACGTCATTAGTCCGATCGTTTGTAGATGCTAATATATATATCTACATATACATACGTAAACAATTAAATTAAGGCACACCTCAAAAATTCACTAGAAGAGTTGTTTCGATGCCCAAAAATTCCTCAAATCAATCCTCTCGACCTCAAGATGTATGGACATGACAGAAAATATATTTCAAGTCTTGGAAATAGTGCATCTTGTAATGCATTTTCTAAACCATCAATTTTTAAGATTTTCAAGCTTTCATAAATTTGTTTGATCTACACTATTTTTTGAGCTTTAAATTTTTATAATTAGATATGACAATAAATTTTTAGGCCATCACAAAGATTCCTAATACTACAGCAACATCTTTCAACAGAATTTGTAGGTGTGCATTACTTTGTTTAGGGCCTCAGTGTATA